GACTTTTTCGCCAGGGTCTTTCTTTGCGGTTTTTGGGGGGGGGGGGGGGTCCCCTCCTCACATGATTTCTGCTGACACCGCAGTGCTTTTTTAAAACAGATTTGTTGTGTTTTTTCATATACGATGTTCTACAGAAATGAAGATACAAACTTTTATCTTCAGGGGAAGCAGAGGAGATTGAAAGGTGGGGAATCAATTCACCTATTGGAAGAGCCATCTTTCAGCAACTGCGTAGCAAACAAAAGCTCTGTATGTTTCCCCTTTAACAGCAGACAGCTGTAAAAAGAGCTAATAAAAAAAAAAACACAACAAACCAAACAAACAAAAACCCCAGAAAGTCATCTTTTTGTCCCTAGTAGGATTATATGGAAAGGTAAATAATTTATTTAGTTAAAAGCACCCTTTTTTGCAATGAGGAAAGGGCTTGGAAGGATACATTCATAGGCATGTATATTACTTAATATCCCTCCGTACCTCACTGGCAGCCAGCTTGTCATTGCTATAGGGGCAGGAAAGCAAGGCCCTTTTGATAGCAGCCCACGCAGCCACTTCTCTGCAAACAGTCAACAGCATCTTCCACCCACAAGCACAAACCAGAGCATGTTACCTCCAGCCTTTATGGCACCCTTTGCCCTCTGAATAGCGCTGAGTTATAGAAGTGGCACAGGTGCAAAAAATCTGTGACAAAGGACCAGCTGCACATGAAGAGAGAACAGCTAACAAGAGAAGGTTCCTCCTGTGCTCAGTGCCTGGGTCCCTCCTGCCCACAGCTCAATAATATTATAATTGTCATGTGGCATATTTCCCCAGAAAGGTTCAGAGGTTTGTGAGTGGTTTAGGGTTTGTTTGTGGTTTTTTTTTTAACTGTATGTATACATAATCTTACACAGATGTAACTTGCTACACTAGGCTGTCACTAAAATAAGCAGTAAACTATTAAAAAAAAAAAAAAATATATATATATAAAGGGCTAAGCTATCATGTATATCCATAGCAGTCAGTCATTTCTCTTCCACTATTAGCAGAACTACACTAGGGTTTAAATTGGTTAGCTGATAACAAAAACAAAAATAAAATTCAAAGACAATCTAAGTTGAGACACATGCGTGGGCAGATGGCTCACACTCACCTTGTTGCTTGAGTGTGATCTTGAACGTGACGCGTTCAGCAATAAAGCACTGCAAGGCAGAACGTACAGCCCTGTCAGTGTTTGCACACAGCTCAGCTACCTGCAAGCCTTCACCATCCAGACAGTTACATTATTTGCCAGCTTAACACCTTGCAGCATGATAGTACCCCAAATTCGTTATCACTGTACAGGGCTGCCAGTAGTTCTACTTCTTGGGAAAGACAGAGGCAGGATGTCTGATTTTTCCTGTTATAAAAAAGGGGAATGAGAGGTAAGCAACAGCATAAGTGAGGGTACAGGCTGCTTTTCTTGTCTGCTGTGGCAACTTGGGGAAAAAACCCTCTACACAGGAGGTCTCATCTTTGCCTGCTGCTTTTTGGTCATTTTTATCCCACCTGGTTAGGCTGGTCATCAGCTTTTTGTTACACCTGAAGGCGTTTCCCCCCAAGCCCCAGCTGATTTACTTGGAGGACCACAGTGACTCTAAACATGGTACACCTCTTTTCTCTCCCCAGGTATCCTTTAGGTATCACTGTAGATTATACAACGAATGGCGTCGGACCAATCAGCGAGTGATACTCCTCATCCCCAAGTCTGCCCACGTCCCGTCCAACCAGCAGTCCCTGCTGGGCCTGCAGTCCCTCAAAAGGAACTCAAAGGAGACCATCGTTTGACTGGGGCAGTTCTGCACGGGGGCCACGCACTACTAAGTAAACTTCTCAAATTCATTGGGGTCAGACACCACCCAGAGCCCAGGAGTGCGCTATTCTGATTTACAAACTCTGTGTTGAGGAAAAAGAAAAATCAGTTTGAATTCAAATCATGGATGCTGCAATCATATGATATTTGCTAAGCTGCCAAACTTGTTTATTTAGCAGATACTGTATGGAATTCTACAAACTCATGTTAATATTTGCATCATCAAGTGATGCAAACTTTTTTATTGTTTAAAATATTAAACTATCATAATTAACAATGCAAAACAGGTTTAAGTGCTTTGTTTTTATAATTTCTGTTCCTGCAGTATTATTTCTTTAGGTAGATGACAGTAATCAGTGCTGCTTTTTCTTTCCTAAAGCACAGCAATAGCATTCCCCCATGTGATTTTATTCGGAACTCCTTTATACCAGTATTTTTTATTATTAAAATTTGTGTGTAATGAGCTCAACAAATTGGCATATTATTTAAACACTATGAAGTGATTGGAAAGTTAACCTTCTCTGTTTCCTATTTGGCAGGGAAGTTCTGATGGGAAAATACTTCACTAATAAGTTAAACACGTGCAAAAGAAGGAAGTGACAAATCACAATGATCTTCCCACTTAAAAGTATTCTAGTATATGCCACTCAGGAAAAACTAATTGTACTTTTTCCACTCAGAAGCAACAAACAAGGCACTACATTCTGCACCGAAGTGCACGTTCTGCTGGTGTGAACTGAAACTTAACCAATTTACTCTGCATTTCCACCAAGCTGAATTTAACCTTAATTTAAGACCCATTTTTGAAAGGAAAACTCTGCATACATAATGAGAAGATTAGATATGTTTAAGAAAGCTGGAACTTGTCTTGCATAAAAATTAGCAATATTTTGAAGCTGCAGAATTTTGAGCTTGACAGGTAGGTTTAGCAGAGTGTATAGAAACCCTGACCTCTCATTGTAGCACTGAGACTGAGACTCGTTTTTAACAATGTAGTGCATAGCCTCCTATGGTGACCAAACTTTACACTGGAGTGTAAAGACTAGACCTTATTCCTGGGTGGCATTATCTGTTTCCCCTTGGTTTTTTGCCCAATTCATTCAGCAATTCTTCACTCTCAGAAGACACACAGTTATGTAAAGAGACTTATTTTACAGAACTACACAAAATTCTATTAAGAAATGCTGCTAGAACTAAAATTTATACATAGCCCCCCTCCAAACAGATGAATTTTTCAGAAACGTGTATAGATGGCAATGCCACCATGTGCTTTGTTTTCCAAACTCAGCAGGAACTGAAAATAAAAAGGAACACAAAGCAGGAAGACTAGTAATTTATAATTCAGATAGTTCAAGGTATTACGGTGTTTACCATCCAACAAGAGCTTATTTGATGCTGTGTGTGCTCTATGGGAGAAAAAGCTTAGTACAAAAAACCAAATCGGTTCGCTTTTTTATTCTGTTTTTGGACCAGTCTGTCTGGTTATGTTATTTAACAATATTCTTTGTAACTGTCAATTTCATGGGGATATAAGAAGCAACTACCTATATAAAGCAATAACAGCCTCATTCAGACATTAAACTGGTTTCACAGCAAGCCAAGGTATGTAAGAAAACCATGAACCTGCATATCTATACTCATTAGTCTGACAATAAGGGCAGGAGTTGGTCACACGTTTGGCACCTTCTCTTCCAGAGAAAACTACACAAGACTCTGAAGACATGGATACCACGAGCTCTGTGATGGCTGAAACCTGTACAGCTTACTTTTAAACCCTCTTCCCAAAGGCAACTAACTATCCACATAGAAGACTGAACATGCATATGAGTGCCAGGTTAAAAGAAAACCTGCTAGCCAGGGGCACAGAAATAAAACAAGTCTAGCTGGGTCCAGGACCAGTGTTTAAATGCCTACACCTTTGATTTAGGTAAGATTTTATCAGAATTTTATTATTACTTTTGCTTCTTGGGAGATAACCCAGCAAACTGGCCCATAACCTAAGTGTTATTCCTGAGCACAAACTGTTCTTGGTTTTGTTTAATGAAAAAACTCCACATTATCCTAATTTTTTTAGCAGCTACTAGGAAAATTATTATTCAAATCAAGCTGCAAGGTATGTGCACATAGATCAGCATAATGGCTTAGCCCAGCTTGTGTGTTTTCTTTCTCTTTTTTTTTTGTTTAAAGCCAGTTTATTTAATCTGAAGAAGGCATACTGAAGCACCAGAGAGGAAGTATGGTCCAGTTTAGCAAATATGTTACTGCTGTAGTCGCTCTGCTTGATGCACACATACAGCAAAACTGACTGGTGAAGTCACTAGCAGTAGTCTCCCATGCCTTTTCTTCAGAAAAAAATATGCCAGAAAAGATCCTTTTGCATTAAACCCATGGAAAGAAGCATACTTCATAATCTTCCCCCTTTTTCCTAAAATGCAAGAGTGGGAAGGTAGGTGATAGTAATTCTTATTCCCACTTCGGTCTGCAAGTCTTCAGTTGAGAACAGAAGGCTCCTCCTGATAAGTACTGCTGTTTCTTCCACTACTTTAGGCTACTGTTGCCATGTCCAAATTTCAGTTAATGATTTTAAAACTGGATCACGGCAGCAAATATTTTACAACAGCACCAATGCTCATTTTTGTTTGAGTAGACATGAAAGATGAATTCAGCTGCAGCAGTAGCTACAGTTAGCAAAGCAGCACAATCTTTGTTATGCTATCCTCAAAGAGCAAAAATAAAAGTTAACCAAAGAAAGGATGGGGAAACTCTTTATTTAAAAAAAGAAAAAAGGAGAGGAAAAAGTGTCAGTCAATTTCCTTCTCAGCAACATTATGCTTTCTTCTCATGCAGCTGGCCTTGACGTTTACATTCCTTCCCAATTTAAGACGTTACATAGAAGGTGCAGCATTCCAATCAGTATTTTGAGGTGCAAGTGATGAAAGCAACAGCAACCTAGGCCACCCAAAAACTCTTCTAAGAGGCTGCAGACACACTAGTTTTGTTCCTTCCTTTCACATCCTACTTGCCAATCACAGAGATTGCCATCCCAAGTGTATCGAGTTAAACCCACACAGAGTCCACAACAATTCAGTATTAATGATGAGTACACTGCAAAGTGAGGAAGTTTTACTTCTTCTACATAGACTAGTGTTGCCGAGAAAGGGCCATCACATTACATAAAAAAACCAGACAAGGTAGGCTTAAAGTAGAGTTCAGCAGTGGTATTTGACATGATGATGCTGCTGAAAAGGTATGAGGTTCAGCAGCAGGAAGCGAGGCAAGTCCTCACTTCTAGTGTAGCGAGGAGAGTAAAACAGAGGAAGCAGCCATATAAATCACTTTATGTGTGAGAGAAGGGGAAGAAACACATTTAATGCAGAGAATAAACTGATACAGAAGGATGTAAGTGAAGATTTAGAAATACAGCTTTCTGTTCAACTGGAAGTCACGGTGTAAGCAGGATTAAAGATACTTCAGGATTTTTGGGTTTGGGGGTTGTTTTTTTTCTCCTTTACTGTATAATTCTATCAGATTGAGACTTCAAACTGTCATTTATTAAAAACTGCTTTGCATCAGTTTCACAGTAGGAATTCACCCAGGGAAATGTGAAAACTCAGTAAACTCAGTACATAAAGGGAATTGGGGCCAATATATGCCTTTGGTGTGATGGATACCATCAGAAAGAGAAATTAAAAGCTACTGTGAGCAACACATATTAAGGGCAAAAAGCCCTCCTTTTCAACCGAAGGTAAGTTTAAAAAAATAACTGTTAGTAATTAAGCTCTTCATTTGTTATTATGAGACCAAGGTCCATTTAACAGAGAGCTGGCTAATTAAAAAAGCATTTTCCTTGCAAGCAGAACTGAGTATTGCCTGTTTACTGCCAAATACTGCACTTGGGATATTCAGAAGTATCTTTAAAAACTATTAGACAATGCAAAATGTACAAAGGCCCCATAGCTTTATAAACACCTAGCAGGCCCATTAAACAATAAAGCTTACAGTATGGGTATATAGTATGTAACATAACTGATGATGACACCACACTGCATACTATTTCATTGCTGTTACTTCACATTTCAAATTTGATTTCTACACACTTTCTCAAAAAACAGGTTACATCTCTTAACAGCTGCCAGGTTTGTTAGTACTTGTGACTGCTTTCAGGTCTTGAAGTTTTTATTGACAGCCTCTTACACCTCATTGTGGCAATGCTACAAAACATTTTTTCTTCCTTTTGATTTTAAAAGGTTGTAAGAACTGATTGTGATCTTCATCTTTATCCTAAGTGTACAAAATGCTTTCTCAATAAAACTTGTTAAAGAATTGATGTTGACATTCTATCTACACCACCTTCAGAAACAAAACACTACAGTTGCAGAGAAAACCAATGTTATGGTTTCACTCCATGACTTACATTATGGAGAAGGTCAGTCTTGCTTGCCAATAATCCTTTCTGTTCATAAATGCAACAGTCAAACCAGCTATGAAAATTCACATCCAAGAGTTACTTTATGACTGTAGCAAAATCCTATCAAACAATCAACTTAAACTGAAATATGCCTTTATTGATGCCACCAAATGTAAATTTTCTTTCTTCAGGGTTAATCACAGAGAGAACAAGTCCTGTGTTTATGCATACCTATAAAAGAAAACCAGAGAAGAGCAGCAAAGGAGGTGGAGCAATAAATGCACACTAAGGAAAAAATAGCTAACTTTTGCCATAATCCTCTGGTGGATCTAGTTGAATACTATAAATAATTAAGTGTCCCAGTGTTTCCTTGAGGTTAACCATCACATACCAGGAAAAGCTAAATAAGCATTCACATCCATCATACATAGCCTCCATTGCCTTTATAAAAATCACCCATTAGTACTAGTTGTCCTATTTGGGGCATGAGCTTTAGAAAGCTTTTATTCCCCATCAATCACTTACTTTCTTTGCCTGGAGAAAAATATTTCATAGTCAATTAACATGTAGCCATTTCTGCAAAAGCTGCAGTCCTTTTTTTTCCTGCTAGAAATACCTATGCTGCTTACAGAGCAGCACGAAAACAAAAGGCACTATTTCACAAATTTGGGGTTTCCCCATAAAGCACCCTTTTCTCTCCGGGAACCCTCAAGTTAGTATCAAAATGATACACTGATAAGAGTTAAGTTTATCCATGAAAATTTAAGACCAACATTTTAAATTGCTTCTTTGCATATGTTGAACAAAAAAGGTACTTACATTATATATATCTATTAATTTCTCCTTCTATATTTTTATGCCTGCTGGGGCTCATGATATAGGTATATGCAGCAGGGGCAAAGAAGTCAGAGGCATAAGACAATCTGTAGCACTGAGCTACAATGGCTACACTGTGGGAAATAATTTGTACCACAAGGCTACAATTGATTACATGGGGGTTTATTAATGAACTTGTCCACTATAAAAAAAGAATGTGGTTTACAGGTTAGCTGTTTATGCTGTGAACAGACCCAAAACCCAAACTTCTATAGAAACAGGACCAGCTGACAGGAATGCATACCTTGCCTCAAGAGTGTTCATCATAGAGTACTAGTGCTGTGCCAGTCTAACTACTTGTTTCCTAAACAGATTCTTACTCTGGTTTGCACAGGAGTTAATGTATTTGAGCACGCACATTTCTGATAAAGAGTTTTTCTAGTTGCTAGCAGTAGGTTACTGAACAGTTTTCACCTGTCAGGATGATGCAATTTGTGTCTCCTGTTACACAGTTGATAAATCAGTATCAGATAATGATAATCCATTATCTGTTGCCAACTCTAGAAAGGACTGAATGTACCTAAAAACAATTTTTACACACAACTGTAACAGTACTAATAAAGAGACCTACCAAAATTTTGATCACAAGTTGGACACATTTACAGAGCGAACTAGGATATTTGCTGCTTCTCTGGCTTATTACCTAACACACATCCTTCAGAAAATGCAAACACACTTGACATAACATTGCATACAGCCAACTGGCTCATTTTTCAGTGGTCAGATATCTTTACCAAATCTATCAGTGTGTCTTCTCTCACCCAGACTAGTGTAGATCATGACAGTAACCAAGGTACTATATTTTGAATGCAGTTCCAAACTAACAGGAACAAGAGCTCCCATTAGACAAGGTGTGATAGGGAAAAAAAAAAGTTAGCCATAAAAGAATTTGCATTTGTTGCACAAGGTGGCACAACGCATACCTCTCCACAAGCTTGATGCTGGTGTTCTTCAGTACAGCAATGGAAGGTCCACTCTACCTTGAGCAATCAAAACATGCTCCTGGACTCAGTGCGGGAAGGTGGAGAAGTAGGAGAACAGAAGCTGTTCTGATCAACAGAGCAGAAACTTTCAAAAGTTACTGTGGAACTTGCAGGAAAGCATCAGACGTTTTGGGTTGGTTTTTTAATATTTCAATAGTAAGATCTCCACCTGGTGGTAGGATGTCTCACACAAGGTTAGAGTGAACCCACATGCTCCCCAGAAGGGGCACCTGTGTCTCCCCCGCACCCTTTATGCTGGTTTACAGAAATACCTGTAGCAGCAAAATGATTTTCTAAAAAATCAGCATTTCTCCTGTTGCCATCCATCACAAAGGTGCTGATTTACCAGAATATTCACAAGACTCATGTAAAACCTCTCTTTACAGAGAAAATTAGCTTCAAGTGGCAGCTGTTAGCTATGCATTCAGGTAAGAGTTATAGCACTGTTCGTCATCCTGGGGACAAAAAACAGAGTCTACAAAAGCTATAAGCAAAAATGCTTGATTATACTGGCAGATTCCTACTATGAATTAAGAGTTAGGTACCCAACGCCTACATGCAAATATTTTTTCTTTACAACTGATTAGAGAGATTAACAGTCCTATCGAATTGGCTCAATCAAGTCTTTAACAGAATATGTTGCTAGCCTGTGATATTTGTTTTAAAAACAAACAAGGAATGAAATGAACTCCTTCCTACAACATATGCATTAATTTATATGGTATAGATGCCTACTGACATCGGAGACTACAATGAATAGAAAGCCATTATTCCTATAGATCAAATGGAGGAGCATTCAGAATGTCACAGAATGATGCTTAAGAGACATAAAAATATTTATACTATGTAAACATTCCAATATAAATAGAAAATTAAATCAAGTATTACAGTGGGGTTTAATGTAGTTGTTTAAGCCAGCATTACTGCCAAAAGCAGCAGTTCCCCTAATCCTAGCTCTTCTGTATAACCCCTTGGCCACCCATCTCCACTTTCTGCTAGCACAAGGTTGAAATACCACTATGTAGTTCACCAGAAAAGGGAAATTAAGATGAAAGATACATTAAAAAAGTCTTATATTTGTCATGAGACAAATACTAGAAAAAATTTCAAATCAACTTATAAATTCTGGCCATGCATTTAAAAATACTTCTAGACTAAGATGAAGATAACTGTTTAAAGTGTTTCTAAGTTTCTATTTATGTTATTATGCTGTGCTTGAACTGCCCAGTACTTGTGTAATGCAGTTAAGAACAGCCTGGTAAGAATTAATATATGAGCAAAAATGATGCAGAAAGTTATGCAACAGCATTTAAATAAAGCTCTAAAGAATTAATTTTGTGAACATGAAATGTGTTACCCATTATTTGGAATAAGTCTTTACAAGTAAATTGCCACCATTCCATTTACATGGATGTTTCACCAGCTTCAAAGCCTATCAGTTCCAAGTAATCAACGCTCATTCAACTTTAATTCAGTTCTAGGAAGAAAAATTCCAAAAGCTTTACTTGATAACATCTTAAACAGAGATACTTTATTCAAAGCTTTTTCAGACATTAGGTTAATGCAGAAAGGACAGAAAAACTTTCCACATTGACAAAATTACAATTGTTTTCCATATAAATGTAGACTAGACCCCTAGAAGTGGTTGTTTCCTACAAATTGTAAACAAGCAAGACAATTCATATTAAAACAGCCTTCTATCTGTTAAAAAATTATGTAAGAGAATTTAAGCTGGTTACACTATCTTATAGCAACACAACTAATACGTTTAACATGAATCCTCCTCCAGAATAAGAAATCTAAATAAAGGAAAAGAGTACCAACAAGGAGTTTTACTGCATCCTTCATCCTCTGAGTGCTTACATTATCAGCTGGGCTATGGTTTTTTGTTTTTATATTTTTTTTGTTTTAATTTGGTTTTGTTTGATTGGTTTTTTTATTATTTTTTTTTTAAAGAAAGCTGTTCTTTTCTATTAAAAAAAAGTCGTATAGGTATTGTAGGAAAAAACAAGTCTCCAGTACAAAAGAGTTCATAGTATCGAAAATCCCTTCCCCAACAGCACCTAAATATAAAGAGGTCAACAGCAACTGGCTAGTCTAGGTGTAGTCTAAGAAAATCAATCCCCAAAACACATTGGAATATTTCTATTCCAGCAAGGTTCCAATAAAAATCGATCCCCAAAACAGTGGAATATTTCTATTCCAACAAGGTTTTAATAAAAAGACTGGCATATAAATCTGGGGCAGAGGGACATCATTTTTCAAACAGTACGTTGTTCAAGGGTCATTAATTCACATCCTGCACGAAAGTTACAGATACTTCTTATAAAACTTCCTTTTCAGTGGCAAAGGAAATTAAGGCCATCAGATTCGCAGGTTAAAAATTCACATACAGAAAATACAAAAATACGTTGTGCTTCCAAGAAGACTCTGCTCTGTAGGCAAGGATTACCATGATTTGAGGAACCTGGCTGACTGGAAGTTTACATGATCGCACAGTTTCTGTTAGATGTCCTTGGGCCCACCTGTGATGAATAGAAAGTCATCTTTGAAAAGAATGATCCAGCAGTAACAGATTTAGCAACTCAAAATAATATACTGTACATTTTGAGTATATTAAATTATTGGCCTGGCCTGCTCTAAGCAAGAGTCAGCATGCAAAGCTGAACAACCTATTGTCCCATCTAAGTAGAAGAATGCTAAATATCCTTTCCCATGAGAGGTCATGGAGGACAGGTACCAGAAACACACAAATAATTATTGTATTTGAATCCCAAGTCAAAAAGCATTGTTGAGTTTAGATAAGTGGTAAATACTGCAAGGAGCATATTCAAAGTACCTTGAGATTTTTTAATCTAAAGATATATAATCTCTTAATAGCTTTACTTACAAAAATGTTATCAAGACACACACTTGAGCTGAACTACACAATCCCAGAAACCGCAAGATACACTTCAGTACTTTTTTGCCTAACTGCAATAAAAACCAGACTCTATACTAAATGCCACAAAGTTATGATTGCTTTTTTTTTTGGCAACCATATTTTTTTGGCCTATAAGTCAATTTCCAACACAGCCAACTCTCTCCACTTTTTGTCTGTTTACATACGCATGCCGAACTACTGTCCTGTATTCTCTTTTCCAGCCACTTTAAGGATACATACTAACTGAAATGTAACAAAGTCTTAGGCAAAGTAGCAAACATGAATGTTGCATTACAGGAACTTCTGTTTGTTACATTTCCCATGTTTCTTTTTCAGAAGACCTGGTCGAAACAGTAAGGTGATGGATAGAACTCAGAATGGGAACAACCAAGTACATTATATCTCAGTATTTCCCCTTATGTTTCAGAACATTTTATACTGGGACTGCAAGGCCACACCTTCCCATTGCTTTCAGAGTGGCATTTCTTCAGCCCCCAAGAGACACTTTCTCTGATAGAGGTGAGATTTGAAGACACTATCAGAGAAAATGAGATGTTTAAGTTCTCAGTATTTTAGGTAAATTTAGGTGTAGCTGCTTAAGCCAAACTTCACCATAAACAACTGGCCTAGGAGAAGTCTTCTCAGGAACAAAGTTTAAGAAAAAAAAAGATCCCCAAATCTTTCAGCTTTAAAACCTTGCTTTAAGAAAAATCTACTTCTCTCCATCAAGGGAATAAGTTAAGTAATATTTTTTTACACCAGTTTTAATAAAGCTTCATGCTTTCATTAAATTACAGATTAAACAAAACAGAACTAAAAAACTTCCCACACCCAAACAGGTATGATTTTTTCCCAAAGATTCCTGACTTTCATATATATGCATTTTTTCCAACGTAAATAACCTTGTTAACCTAAAACAAGATACCTGCTGGTGGTGAAGGTCTTCTTCCTCCAGAGCTTCAGCTACTTCTTCCTCAACTTCTTCCTCTTCCCCTTCAGGTATAGTTGTTTTAAAGACAGTGCTTCTCTGAGCAACCTCCTGCAACAGATTTTTATTTTTCAGACTTGACTACTCTGAAGAGCTAGCTCTAATCTACTTAAGTTTTGAAAAACAGGAGTTCCAGCTGTTGAGAAAGCTACTTGTACTGATTTTGTCTACGTACTTTTCATGTACTGCTGTGCATAAACAGCATTCATAACACCTTAGTTTTAAATCTGTTAATGATAAGAAAGTCTTTATAACAAGACACTCATCAAATCTTCCATAATTTGCTTACTATATATTTAAATATTTTTTTCAATTGCAAGATGTCATAGCTACTGTTCTACTCAAGTTTTTAGATCTCACTAGAAATAATGCTTCATTGCTTTATATGAGTTTCACTGTAACGTTTCCCACCGCTCATAAAAACACAGTTTTAAGGAAAACTAAAGGACAAATCACTGAAGAGTTCACTGAAGTATTTTCTTTTCAGAGCATATTCTAAGGCACTGCCCAATTCCTGGCGTGAGGGCAGTGTCTGAACAAGTCACTCTACTACTTGTACTCAACATAGGGAAAAATTTCACACGCTGCAACAGACTGCATTCCTAAATGGCAGGCAGACAGGGGTACAGCACGTGTGGCTGAAAAGCAAAAGGAGAAAAACTCTAAATGCTCATGTGCACCCATGTGTAAAGTCCTGATAACGTTCTACCTGCATCTTTGCAGGGGATGGCATCACAAAAAGGCAAGTTTAAACACATCTGAGGTACTTTACCTCTCCCTGAGAATTTTTCAGTACAACTTTCACATCTTTACCAGTGCCCCAAGAATTCTGGTTCTTCCAGATGAGGTCAGTGGGAGGGCTAGCAGTTATTCCAGCATTTGCAGCCCAGATCTGTTAAAAGAAATCACACACGAACATTATTTGCTACTCTTATACATTACCATGTTATTTATTGAGTTAATGTATTCCATTTGTGACATCAGTGAATCTCCTTCAATTAAGAAAATACAAGTCTCTCTCTACCTACTTTCAAAGTTGCTAAAAATAAAACACCCCAAAGTTTTTTAATGCAGAGACTTTTGAACATATAAATGCACCTGTTTGTGGTCAAAATTGTTGCATAAAGAAAGTAAGTTTCTGAAGAACATGTCTCCCATCCTACTTCTTCCCAGCAATAAATACAACTAAGGCCCAATAGAAACATATAGGTGATTATTTTCTGAACATGTACGCAGAAAGGACAAAACTAAGAACCTTGCATCTTATTGACACACACACAAGTTGTCTTAAAGCCAATTTCAATTGAACAGCTGAAGCTTGACAACTTACTGTAACAGTTTGGCCTGCCTTTAGTATGTATCTTGAGGTATATCTGTAACTAGCAGAAGTGTCTCCTATTTTTCTGATCAGCTCCCAACCTCCCATAGGTTGATCCTAATAAAGAAAGAGAAAAAAAAATTCTATTAGCACTTTCTGTTACATATGCAGGGTATTTTACATACAAGGCATAAAATTTTCAGTAAAAAAACCTTATCATCACTTCATCTTCAGCATGCCATTAGAACTTAACTAAAATTTTAGGTAAATTTGTCTTACCACTTATTTCAAGTTAAAGCTTAATACATCCTGCTTTTCAATTCTACTAACCAGTGTTTACAATTTACATCAGTTTTATTATAGCTTAGTCCAGAAAAATATATAAATAAATATTAAAAACCCCTTACAAATACTCAATACGTTTTCTGGAACAGAGGACAAGCAGGCTCCTTAGAAAACAAATTATTCCTGTCAGTCTTAAAACATGTTTTGATTCCTTTTCAAGGCCTGTGTTATTTTTGCCTTTCAAATGTTTTTTGCCTATCAACTACTTGAAAAGCACTAGCAAATCTAGTAGAAAAACATATACAGGTCATTATTACAGAATAACTATTTCAAAACAAGAGTAGATCTTTTAAATTCTCCCACCAACAGTTGCCAAGCATTAAATAATTGCCACCGGAGTCTGAAAACAGACAGTTAAGTTAGCTTATTTTAGGTGATCTTACCTCAATAGCTGCTGACATTCAGCTGTTTGTTGTAACAAAATATACCACACTCACTAAAGAGGATTTTTCTATTTTCTATCTAAATGCATTCATATATTGTATGTTGTATTTTTGTATATTATTATATATTACTTTTATATATTATTATATCTTATACATTATATGTAAATAAATATAAAACCTGTCAAACACTCGTTAAAATTCTCCAAATACAGCTTATTACACTGCACTACAAACAGTTTCTCAAATCTAGACCCCTGGCAAAGTGCTATAACCATAACCCATCCATGGCTACTAATAACAGAACTGATGGTCCTTCCATGGCAGAATGAATGTGTAGTTAAGTTAAATGAGGAGGGAGGCTGTGGGGGGACAGACTCACGTGCTACACAAAGTGTGGGGGGAGAAAATCCTGTAAGCTTGAGAAACTTCAAAAGCAAAAAAATGGCAGGTCCCGACTCACTACAAGTAGTCTTTGATTTGTCTGAGTTTAGGCTTGGCTGCCCAGACCAAGACACTTGTCAAGGTTTCTTCCATTCAGTACATGTGGGCACTCTCAGCCAACACCCCAGGCAAGTAATTACAACACATCTATCACCACCTGGAGCACTCTGTTCCTCTCTTCCTTGATTAGAGAGGACCCAGACACTGGGAACCAGACCAATCTTTGCCATCTAAAACATCAAGGTGAGCTGCCTTTTAGTGAAAGTTAAAGATCCCATGACATTAGACAAAGGCCTTTGTGTCACCATACACAAAGAATGTAGCTAACACTTCTACACACAGCTGAGGTACAGACAGCACAGGAGGAGACAAGAATTAAGACCTCTGAAATCAAGGCTGCAAGAAATTAAGTCTTGTAATTTTGGTGTCCTATTCAATGCTCAAGTCTCTCTTCTCCCTGACAAAGGATTTAAGGAATTATAGTCCCCAGTCTCCAGCTCTTCCTCTGATGACTTGCAGGACTGTATCTAGCACAGAACTTTTGTTTTTTCTTAAGCAGAAGTTACAAGTAATGTTGGAAGGGGAAGAGGGAATAGGGGGAAAGTGAACTGAATGTAACAATGTCATTCTGAGGGTAACATAAGGAAAAGTTTTGACTGCCACTCAAATGAATTATCTTTTGATCAACAGAAATGTGTGGTCCCCCAGTACAAACTCCAACCTACTCACAGAATGAAATCATCTGAGTAGCCATCATAAAGGTGGCTTTGGCATGGGAACTGAGGGCTCCTAAAACATGCGGATGCAGCCAACAAAGAAGGAAAACTATGGTTTAAAGGAGCTATATGCAAGTACAAGGGACACGGGCAATTAGTTACACGTAGACATTTATTTTGCATCAGTAGGTATTTCTTTGGGGAATTTTCAAGGCAGAAAAAATTTTTTAAAGGCTTCTGAAGCAGCCTAATGTCTGCTTGCACTATTTCCTATCAGTGACAATGCTATCAGAAAAGCTTTACAAGAAGATCACATGTGAGGCAGAACTCTTAAGATTGATGCAACTCCTTGGTGAGTAGGGAACATAACATTAAAACAGTTGCTATGAAAATCATTTAAAAGAAAAAATCATTAGGAAGTAGTCATCATCAATCCAGAATACCGTATGAAAGGTTATTTTGTGACACACTAGTTTTAGTGCCACCTCTTACACAGCATGCTTTAACTCCAGGGCCAACATGAAGCCTGAGGGCTGAAAGGGTGCTGAAGATACCTTCTACCTCTAACCAGCCCATTGTAAGGTCATTTTCAAATTATGCATTTTCAAACCTGTTCAGAGGTGTTCTTCAAGCGGATGAATTTTCCATCAACGTCTATCTCCTCAATAGAGACATTTCCAGTGGCAGAAGCTGAGTGGGAAATGCTCACGCTACTGCTGGCTTCAGATTCCTCCACATCAACCCTCTTCCTCTTCCCTCTGGTTGTACGCACGCTACGGCTTGATGAAGCCCGTGAAACTGTCACTCGGGAAGAGGGGCTTGGAGAAAGTTTCAATCTATATTGAAGAAAGGAAGACATATGCATACATCACATTTTTCTTTTTTTTTAAATAAACTTTGTTTTTCTCTCCTCTTCTTTCCATGGAATTGTAGAGCAAAAAGGTATAGGAATATAGTAAACAAAACACGTTACATGAAAAAGTGAAGCATTAGGTACTTTTTGAAGAACTGGATAAAATGTTGTCAACCCATTGATTAATGCTTTGGAAGAATACAATACTGATGGACTACTATGTTAAAATCATAAAGGCACCTTCATGCACTTCTTAAAGACTGCATTCCTCGGTACATGGGTCAAGTAAAGAAAAAAATTCTTAGGGGAATTTAAGCCATTGTATGAAATTTATGGAAAAACCTAGTGGCAGAAGAGCTTTTGCTTACACTTGAGAGAAATCAGCTTGGACCAGCAGGATGTCATTCAGAAAACAGTGAAGTATCAAACTACCTTAAATTACAGCTGTGACTTACCAGGATAAAGTTCATAGTATTGCTGAACTCTGGGGGGCTTTTTCTACTCACGGAAAATGCTGCTAGCTGATAAGCTGGGCAACTGTAACAGCCATTACTTTATTAAAATTATTCTAGACTTAAAAAAAATTTGGCTAACAATTAAATAACCCTGTAATTGACTCTGGAAAAAGAGTATTAACCGTGGCACCAAACAGACCTACAAATGACAATTCATTATGTCCTTAGTGCTGAATCTTAATAGAAGAATGGTATTTGTTCCCTTGAGAGCTGCTGGTCTGACACTCAATCAGCCTGGTTTCATGGAGACCAAGTACAAGTAAATGTGTCAGGCAGGAAAGGGGCAAAAACCAAACAGTGCCTTGGAAACTATAGTAAAGCATCTAATGAATACATTCCCAGTAAGAGCTGCCTTTTAACACAGAAGAAGGCAAGTAAGGGAAGCACACAAGATATCAGCATTTGTTGCTACTTTCTTTCATACCTCTCCTCTTCACCCTCCAGCAGTTTCCGGTATGCTTCGATTTCCATATCGAGTGCCAGCTTAAGATCCAGAAGTTGTTCGTAGTCATTCAGCTGCTCCTGCATCTGATTTCTTATCTCTGCCATATCCTTCTCTTTCTCAGACAGTATTTTGCGACAGTTTTCCCGTTCCTTGGCCAAGCTTTCCTCAAGCTCTTGCACTCTGTCTTGCCATGCTCTAGACTAGAAAGTATTGGAAACATCAGTGGTGCAAAGGAAAGCTCACCCAAACCTCCGTGCCCTCTGCTACTCAGGCAACATGGAAATGTTAAAATCATAAAGGCACCTTCATGCACTTCTTAAAGACTGCATTCCTCGGTACATGGGTCAAGTAAAGAAAAAAATTCTTAGGGGAATTTAAGCCATTGTATGAAATTTATGGAAAAACCTAGTGGCAGAAGAGCTTTTGCTTACACTTGAGAGAAATCAGCTTGGACCAGCAGGATGTCATTCAGAAAACAGTGAAGTATCAAACTACCTTAAATTACAGCTGTGACTTACCAGGATAAAGTTCATAGTATTGCTGAACTCTGGGGGGCTTTTTCTACTCACGGAAAATGCTGCTAGCTGATAAGCTGGGCAACTGTAACAGCCATTACTTTATTAAAATTATTCTAGACTTAAAAAAAATTTGGCTAACAATTAAATAACCCTGTAATTGACTCTGGAAAAAGAGTATTAACCGTGGCACCAAACAGACCTACAAATGACAATTCATTATGTCCTTAGTGCTGAATCTTAATAGAAGAATGGTATTTGTTCCCTTGAGAGCTGCTGGTCTGACACTCAATCAGCCTGGTTTCATGGAGACCAAGTACAAGTAAATGTGTCAGGCAGGAAAGGGGCAAAAACCAAACAGTGCCTTGGAAACTATAGTAAAGCATCTAATGAATACATTCCCAGTAAGAGCTGCCTTTTAACACAGAAGAAGGCAAGTAAGGGAAGCACACAAGATATCAGCATTTGTTGCTACTTTCTTTCATACCTCTCCTCTTCACCCTCCAGCAGTTTCCGGTATGCTTCGATTTCCATATCGAGTGCCAGCTTAAGATCCAGAAGTTGTTCGTAGTCATTCAGCTGCTCCTGCATCTGATTTCTTATCTCTGCCATATCCTTCTCTTTCTCAGACAGTATTTTGCGACAGTTTTCCCGTTCCTTGGCCAAGCTTTCCTCAAGCTCTTGCACTCTGTCTTGCCATGCTCTAGACTAGAAAGTATTGGAAACATCAGTGGTGCAAAGGAAAGCTCACCCAAACCTCCGTGCCCTCTGCTACTCAGGCAACATGGAAATCAAAACATGAGGTTAAGCATCGTCCCCCCTTTCTGAATTCAAACTCACTTCTATTCACACTCCTGTTCTCCACCTCAATTACAAACATAACACCTTAAGTTCCAATGAAACTTACAACATGCTTTGGAAGACAACTCCATTTTTCTGAGATCTGAAGATATATTACACCACCTGAATTTACTCAGTCAAGAAAAATTGAGCTTGAGATGTGGACAGGATACAGAATCAAAGTACAGCTCTGAGCATACTTTAGATCCTGTGGTAAGTAATTGCTCTTTACCTTTCAGATGTCTACTTCCTGCTTCAGTTTATTGCTGCCAATTCTGAATTCTGGGAGGAAGTTCCTCTAAAGGAATACAGACTGTCAGTCAAAGCCTATCTGTTACCAAAGCCTTCAAGGCTTGCTGACTACAGTGGTAAGTGCTCCACAAAAAAAGCTAATTTCTCACATACTTTAAAAAATCACATAAACCAGTAGAACACAATATTGTCTACACAGAATTAAACGATTATCAAAGAAAGGCCAAATCACAACAGATTTAAGGTTTACTTTCCTTGATCATGCTTTCTTCTGTTTGACAGTCTCTTGAGATTTATTTTTGTTTTAATTAAAGGACAGCCACAGGAACCAATGCCTCACAGTCACCTTGTCTGCTAAAGTCACCAAGTTTGCTATGCAAGCACTCTACTTAGGAAGTCATCATAGTCCAGAGACACAAAAACAGGCAGTCTAAAAGGCTTACGCAGAGGACCAGTGTAATCAGCTTTAATTGTTAAGAGTCAGATAAAGAATGTAATAAAAGGAGTTGAGTGCCACATAGAAGATCCCAGTGGAAACTACTACAGAGCTCAGTATCGGTAACTCAAACCAGACTTCGCATCAGTGGTAAGAGAGTGTCTTTGTCTTCTTCCAAGAGTATAAAAATAAAGTTAGTGCTAGCAAATGGAAATCAAACCTGTACTAGTTGACATCACTAGCACTACCACCAAAAAAAGAGAATGCCACTGAATCAAAATTGGAGGCTTGGTGGACAATTAACAGTCAAACTGGCAGAAGTTGATTTTGATAGTTCTGAAGTTAACACCTCTGCAAATTCAGAAGCATGTTCTCTGAAGCTAGCTGTCACTCCCAAATAATTAACAGAACACAGGTAATTAACTAAAGTAAGACGGAAAACACCCTCAGAGCCCTCAGTCTGTTGACTGAACCACCAAAAGAAAGATGATGGTAATCTAAAGGCACAAATAAGATATAAGTAGACAAAACTCTCACTCTGTGATCTAAGTATAATTAGATTCTGCTCTACAAATGCTCAAGTCGTGTTATCTGATGTATTTTCTCAGTCTCGTATTTCATCCTAATCTTGTAAAACCACTCCTTTTTTTCCCCTAGAGTTCTAGATGCAAACTGGATTGAGGCTAGAAAAAGATATCAAATAGAGAAAGACTGCATATTCCAGCTCTGGCTTTGGATATTGCTTTGTGGAATCTTAAGCTAGGCATTCCAGTTAATACAGAACAGAGCTAAATTTCTTAGAATGTTAAGAACTTTTAATACAGAGCTGTTTTCTAAAATTGTCCTATCTATTCGCAAAAGTTTCTATAAAAGCCAGCAAACAGTATGACCTCTCAAATACTCTGTAGCAGGATTCTGCACAAAAAATTTACTTTTGTTGAAAGGAGAAATTAAAGAATTTGAAAAAGCATACAACAATACAAGAAAAGTCAAATTCAAGTCATGATGTTGACCATACTTACAAGTTAAGGGAAAGAAAGTCCTTTAATAAAAAAAAAAACCCAACCATAATTAGCAAGGCTGAAGAGTCACACACAGCTCATTACCTCTTTCTGAAGGCTGGCGAGATGAGAAGACAGACTGTCAATTCGTATGCGACTTTCATTCAGTTCTTCTCTTACGGAGTCAGCTGCAGAATCACTCATCTTAGAGGACAGCCTAGCATTCTCAAGCTGCAGTAGATCATTAAGACATCAGTTTCAAAGCAACTTTTAATGAAAGATAAGTGAGTCACTAAAAACCACACACAACACTAAGCCACAAAGTTCCTCTCTGAAGCTTTAACGCAATGAAACATCTTTCTTCAGGAGTTAAATATGGTGGCTCATTTACCATGCTGGATTGCCCTATCTGAAATCGCAGTCCTCTGAACACTTATTCTAGGATTCAAAATTTAGAAGTCTCCCTTGTAAACATTACTGAAGTTGAACTGCTAAGTTCAGTTTTCAGGCTGGCCAATGTTTAGCTTTATCTATTTAATTACTGTAGCACCGTTTCTGAATATGCTTAGATAGTAGAAGCTAAACTAAAATTAGCAATTCTCTAAAAACAAGCGAACTTATGTTAATTTTCAGCTAACATAAGCAAATTGGTAATTGCCTTCAGATTACAGTACCAGTGCCATGAGTCACTACCACTTCATTGTACCACAACTTCAAGGTCAAACAGTTAAATACTTTTCTTTATTTTTATGGGTTTTTTTAATGGCTACATTGTTCCTGCTGAACACTACCACATCCACTTGGGCAACACCACAGACTTATGGAACGTAATAGTTGCAGATGAAGTGGTATTTAAAAAAAAAACTTTAAAAATAACAAGAGTCCAAAAATACAGAAACAGTATACCTGAAGAGAGGGAACAAGAAAGCCTCAATTATGAAAAGATTTTTTAGAACCAAAAAAACCCAAATATTTTGGCTAGATCTTCTTTTAAGTAAGTTTTTCCAAGTCAGATTGAAGCCCTAAAGATAGGCAACTGCAAAGACTGCAAACTATGCTAGTAAATTTGGTTTGTATCAACTTCTCTGCTGTAACATCCCACCTTGTTTTTAAAAATACTAACTGCAACAAGTACAGTCACAGAAACCCGGTTCAGCGGAGACATCAGGATCCCTCCTCAAATGCTGAATCATAGTAGAGGAAGGAAATTACTAAGTAAAACTGATTTCAGCTTGAGTATGCTTCCTCTCTAGAGGAGCAAAAAGGAGAAATCATTGGGTGTGATGGAACTTCCACGTTTTGTACAAGATCAGAGGACTCAGGATGTTATCTTCTCAGTAAGCCTTACTGTGAAATAAAGTGTCACATATTTTGTATAAAACTTATTGATCATCAGGACTGTGTTACAGCTGATAAGTAATAACACATGAACTTCCCTTGAATTCATAGTAATCCCAGTACTAATCACTTCTCCCACCCGCAGTTCACCTTCACACAGTGCTTCATACTCTAATGTTCTTGTGCTTTCTGAGGATTAAACCTGCTCCCAAAATGAGACCTGAAAATGCAAATTCACATTCAAAACCATGGTAATCTCAAACCAAGATCCATGATAAAATCCTTTGAAATACAAGTAATTAAGTTATCTTTCCCTAAAGGACATCAGACAACTGTATGAAAAGGTGTTCTCACTTTGGCATGGTAAGACTGTTCAAGCTCTTCTTTGTACAGCTTCACTTGTGCATCATGCTGCTCTCTTATTTCACGAAGGGCTTGGGTCAGTTTATATTCATACTCAGTTTGACGCCCAGAATCAACTTCAACCAGGCGAGTTTCATGCCTCCTCTTTGTTTCATTGATTTCCTAAGAAAAACAGAAAAACTAACACTCAGTAAATGAGACAAAACAAGTTTTAGAAGACTATCTGCTGAGTGGATAGCAATGCAGAATGTAGCTAGCCTTGCAGATCATCATTAGATCAGTTTGTTTGACATTGAAACTTTCAGCAGAAACCCAGGGCCGTTTCCTCAGTCTGATGTGCAAAGCACCTTATTTTGCAATAGCCAGTTGTAGAGCTAGGACCCCATTAGCACATAAATTCACATTTCCTTCTGAGAGTTGTCTGCATTTTCAACAGATACATCTCAATATGATTATGTTAGAAATACACACCCTTCCTTTCCATGCTTGGACAAAATGAAAGTACTGTGAAATTAAACAGCCACTTTCACTACTGAGTATTCGCCCCATTTATTTGTATACTCGCCCATGGCCTCTGGAAAAAAGGATTTCAACAACGTGAACAAAGCTGAAAATATAACTAGCAAGGAAATGTGCCCATGGAACAAAAGACAATATTGTTCAGTACATTTATTACTGCTTTAAGGTTCCTCCTGAAGAGCCTGAAGTACTGCAAGTGAAAGGGAGAGTGGCAAGAAAAAGCTCTCAAAGACAAATATGCATCAACTTCTGTTTCCATTATTCAAAAGTATCCTATTAGAAAGTTCTGAAATTTAAAAACAGTACATGTCCACAGCATCTGTCTGTGTGCCCCTCTCTATTTCTCATAAAGGCATTATGTGAGAAATTATTAACCTGTTTTCTCATTACTACAAAAAGGTGTGTACATTGCAACACCATGGACAGAATTTAACTTGAAATAAAATGATACATGAAGCTATTTTATTACAAAATCTGAGTTTACGTCATTTTTCCTCCAGAAAAAAAAAAGCTGGAAATCTTCCAGCTAGAAGAGAGTTAAACCCCACTCTGAGTGGGAATTCAGACCATATGAACTTCCAGAAGTCCCTCCCAACCTAAACCATTTTAGTATTGTAGAATGACTCTCCTGTTGTCTTCTTCCTTTTAATAATGTGAATTCTTGAGACTAGAGCATTTACCTCTTCATACATATTTTTACGGAATTCCAACTCCTCAATGAGACTCTGACAACGGTTTTCAAGATCCACCTTCTGTAAGGTTTCACTGGCAAGCTGGTCCCTGGCAGCACCTAGAGAGGCTTCAAACTTCAGGAAAAAGAAATACAGGAATCAACACAACAATTATTATTTAGCAGAACTCACATAACACAGTGACCTCAGCTACCTAGAAGTACAGCTAACTACATGTTATGGTTGAAATTGACAATCAAATCCACTATCTACACCACTAATGTCTTCCCCACCTCCTTTGCAATCGCTTCCACAAGTGAGTTCTAGAAATTTTACATTGATAACTACCAGCAAAATGCTACTTGCCAATTTTGCTTTAAAAAGTTCACTTTTTCTACACGGCAATTACCATTTTCCTGGTCCCCTCAATTCTTTCTTTTGAGGTGGTGTTGCTTAAGGTCACAAATCATGTGTTGATTCAATGGGTTAAGAAAAACAGCACAAGACTTCCTCCCCTCACCCCCCTTTGTTCTATCAGATGCTCAGAAGATGGAGAACCACAGACATAACCAAAAAGAGGGCAGAGAGGATTACAAGTTGTTACTTGTGGGTCATTCATTACCAGTATTTGTAAAGCCATTCTCTCCCTCAAAATAGTTCTACAATTTGTGAAGTTTATGTTGACTCTTGACCTGCTTACTTCGAAATAAGTACTATCACTTGCAATTGCAGAGTCTGCAATTTTAAAAGTACTCTATTCCACCATTCATGTTATTAAAAACTGAACAGCACTAGACACAGACATGTACTCAATACCACCTCCAACGTTGACAGCGAACCAGTCTGGTCTAGGTGTGAACTAGATGACAAGCCTACATTGATTTTTTGGCTACAAAGGTGCATTTTACCAGAATAACTGCTCTTACTATGGATGTATTACACATAAAAACATCTCATTTACTGACAAAAGCTTGATGGTTAAATATTTCTTTGCGTCACCTGTACAACTTCATCTTTTAAATCCTGAATTTCTCCCTCCAGACTTTTCTTATCACCAAGAGCTGTGGCGAGTGCAGCTTCTTTAGAATTGAGGGCTGCTTCATACTCTCGAAGTTTGACTTGGGCTCCATTAAGATCAGATTCCTTTTTCGCAAAGCTGGAATAAATCAGAGAAAGTGGTAAGTAAGTCTAGAAATGCCCCCATAGTAGACTGCTGACTGATAAAACAAGGTGCAAACTGAATATTTTGTTGCGTGTCTCTCAAGTTTAAATTTTTCTTGGCTTAGTTTACTGTAATTTAAATAAACTCCTTGCTTCTGCTTTCTTATGTCATATAACAATACTTTAATATTTCACTTGGGCTGCAGAAACCTAAATATAGAGGAAACTCAGAGTGTCAAAAGGCCTGAGATGCATACACAGAAAGGGGAAACTATATTAAAGACATCTCTTGTTTTCTCTTTAGCTAGTCACTGTAAAAACATCCTACCTTCACCAGAATTTTAAAAGGAAAAAAAAGTCCTCCCATTGGAAGGCTCTTCCCATAGAGTGGAAACAAGTACATTATCTTCATCATCTTTTACCCAGGCAGGAACTTGTGCAGATCCACTGTGTGTGGGCTGCAAATAGTCCACTTCCAATTAACAGACAAGCTTCTCAATGAAAATTGATGTATAAGTCAGTCCTCCATACACAAATGTTGTAGCATAGTGAACCGCTTCGCAGCAACTTTCTAATCATACATCATTACAAAGTTCCACAGATCTGAGGAAAGATACCCACATCCTGTCTATGCAACAGTGTGTGCCATTACCGAAAGTGCACTGGTGCAGAGGTAAAGGCGTCTTTTTCTTTGTAAAAGAAAACATACAAGCTTTTCAAATTACCACTCAAAATAGTTTTCTTGTCTAACCAAGTGGTCAAACAGTTTCTAGGAATTTACTCCTTGAATGGCATACAAAAACAAGTAAGTTCAGTGAGAAAAGTAACGTCACATAAGCACAAACCAACACTTCAGCCTAAATCAAGCATTCACAAATAGTTCTACAAGAGAGTACTGTCAAAAATAGCAGAAAGTAAAACCATAGTCAGGGATAAAAATGACTGTTGACCTTTAGATGGCACAAGCAGGTGTGTTAAAATGTATAACACAAGTTTTCCCACCTTGAAGTTTGTTCTTTTTCTGTCTGGGACACACACATTCCTATATACTGCTGACCTTAGAAGAGATGTTTTAGATGGTTATACTCAAACTATGAGCATTTTAAAGAAATAGACAGATTCAGGCTCAGTAAGACAACAGCTATCACATTCTTCTTCAGTTTTTACTTCTTCAAAGACAAATGTGAAAAAAAAGTCAGAACCCACAACACTAAACTGAGGAGATGGGGAACTGCATAAAGATTCTTAAGAACAGGATTCAAAAGTGCTAAAGCATTAATACATTCTCTTTTTTTTTTAAAAAATCACTGTACTGATTTTGAGAAACAATAGCAATACTTCTCAGCAAAATGAGACAGATGTAAAAATTAACAGTTTTAAAAAAAAGAGACTCTCAAATTTAAAAGATGCTCTTCCAAGATCACACACAAGCATATGCAACTAACATCATGCTCAAGAAGTATGTGCACAAGAGCTTGCAAAAAAAGATCTGTACAAATAAAAAACTGATGTTTCAGCACTAGAGCCACGAGATGGCAGGCTTTAGGCAACAGACTTGGCACTGGCTAATCCCGCTCCTCCACACTCGCCCAAGTGGCAGACTACAACAGCCTGCGACACACACAGGCTTCTATACTCAACAATTTTTATCTCATTTCTGCAGCACAATGCTGTCCAGGCCCTCCATGGCATTTTACAAACCAACACTGAGACCAAACAGCAAAAAATTTCTGTTTTGGCCACCTGGGCTCCTGCCTCCAGCTCTCTGTACTACTGAGTGGAGGCCTCTGTCCTGCTCCTCCTGTCCCACCACAAGGGACAGCAAGAATTCAGCATACAAGGAAGCCGTACAGCAGAGGAGGAAGAAGAGGGAAGGAAAAGTGTGTTGCTATGGCACAACTGCAATAAGAAGAAACCCATCTCTCAGTCACCTACTGGGAAGTATGAGGGCCCGCATCAGGCCTTTGTTGTTTGATCACTGCTGGAGAAAGTTTTATTCAAAGACAGAGAAACTGTTTCACACAGGCTCTCTCACAGGTCTTCATGCTTGAAGTCAAGCCTATCTATCACGTTGCATCCTGAAACTAGACATAGCCACAGTGTGCTGCCCCACACTGCCCTGAATTATCCTGGACTCTGAAACAAGAAGACTTGCCACATACCTTAAAGTTACTTTGGCTTTTTAATTTTTTTAATGCAAATATCTCTACCAATTACAAAGAGAGCTCTTGCAGTCAGGGCAGCAGAGAAAGGGATGTATAATATGGACTAGCAACAACAGTATGACTAAAACCCAGTACACTACCTGTACCACTAAATTAGGTATTACCAGTTACATCAGCCCAAAGTATCTTCAGTCCTTGCTTGCTTGCAACAAGATTGGCTGCGAAGCCATCCTATAATTTAATGCAGCTAAAGTCATAGAAGGAGCAAAAAAAGAATTAAAATTCAGCACTATTAGTTGTTAGTGTTTGAGTTGTCTAACTATGAGACAGCTCACCCAAACACACTCTCAGAAAGAAAACAGAAACTGGAGCTCAACACTTCAAACACTGAAAGCCAGATGAAATCTCAGCAACTCAGCAGTGTCATCCCAGCCCTAAGGGAATACAAGAAAGAAGTGAAACAAGATCACAAACACCTCTGTGAACTACAGAAACAAACACCAAATATACACAACATATACATCACCCTTACACCTAGCAATTTTTACCAGGAAGAACTTCAGCCTCTCAACAATAGCTTGCTTTTTCTTCCACAGAAAGCCAGAGATATATCTCAAACACCTTCCTGTTGTAGTGTTCAGAAATTAGCTAGGACTCTACTCCTTTGTTTGGCTCATGAAAGAAAAACAAAACAGAAATAACTGCTGACTTGCATCTTCTTCAAAGCAGCAGCTTGTTTTTTTCTCTCTTCCATGTTCCAAGTGTGTACATGATCTTATCCATGGAACTGTAATTTTCTTAAATGGTGTAGAACTAAGATCTGCCAAAAAAAGATCCAGTTCCCATTCACTTTCACCGTACTTCAGAGGAAACCTTCACTTCAGAAATTTAACCCACAACATTTAACTCTTATAGACATTAGGGAGTGTAAAGAACTCAAGTCTCACACCCACCTATCATTATCAGCTCTCACTAATGGAGTTACAGCCACACATAGCTTAGAAATGGCACAGCACACCCCCCGATAAAATAATGCAGCGTTTTCCCCAACACACTCCAAACACTCAAGCAACCTGATGATATCAGTAAGCATTCCACAGTGCCACTCTCAGGGGTACAAATAACCCTGATAGATGCAGTATATCTGCCCAGCTCACATTTAAATAAGTTAATTTATCATACTGGATGCAGTCTAGCTGAGGCACAGACTTCTAAGTGGGTTAATTTCCTCACCATTCCCAAAACTTAATAACCTGTAAAGCAGAGTAAGTAAACTCACCCACAGTACCTTATAGTTGTGTGTAAGTTGTGTCTGGTTACCTGCACTAGCTCACTTAAAGCTAACTCAAAGTTCTCAAATATAGATACCAAGGAGCAACCACTGCTTTGGTAAGATTACCTGGACCACTTGGTTTGCAGCTCAGTTAAATGGCTAAGTCACAGAACAGCTCACTGCAAAAGGCCAGCTCTCTTTTCATGCTCTTGCACAATCACCAGTCTTTCCTGAGCCCTGAGGTTCATGAAACAACCTAGAATTTCCTGTAATCTCCTTAAATTTCTTGCCAAATTAGTAGAAAAACCAGGCAGGGAAAAAAAAAAAGAAAAGAAAAAGAAAAGAAAAAGAAAAGAAAAAGAAAAGAAAAAGAAAAGAAAAAGAAAAGAAAAAGAAAAGAAAAAGAAAAGAAAAAGAAAAGAAAAAGAAAAGAAAAAGAAAAGAAAAAGAAAAGAAAAAGAAAAGAAAAAGAAAAGAAAAAGAAAAGAAAAAGAAAAGAAAAAGAAAAGAAAAAGAAAAGAAAAAGAAAAGAAAAAGAAAAGAAAAAGAAAAGAAAAAGAAAAGAAAAAGAAAAGAAAAAGAAAAGAAAAAGAAAAGAAAAAGAAAAGAAAAAGAAAAGAAAAAGAAAAGAAAAAGAAAAGAAAAAGAAAAGAAAAAGAAAAGAAAAAGAAAAGAAAAAGAAAAGAAAAAGAAAAGAAAAAGAAAAGAAAAAGAAAAGAAAAAGAAAAGAAAAAGAAAAGAAAAAGAAAAGAAAAAGAAAAGAAAAAGAAAAGAAAAAGAAAAGAAAAAGAAAAGAAAAAGAAAAGAAAAAGAAAAGAAAAAGAAAAGAAAAAGAAAAGAAAAAGAAAAGAAAAAGAAAAGAAAAAGAAAAGAAAAAGAAAAGAAAAAGAAAAGAAAAAGAAAAGAAAAAGAAAAGAAAAAGAAAAGAAAAAGAAAAGAAAAAGAAAAGAAAAAGAAAAGAAAAAGAAAAGAAAAAGAAAAGAAAAAGAAAAGAAAAAGAAAAGAAAAAGAAAAGAAAAAGAAAAGAAAAAGAAAAGAAAAAGAAAAGAAAAAGAAAAGAAAAAGAAAAGAAAAAGAAAAGAAAAAGAAAAGAAAAAGAAAAGAAAAAGAAAAGAAAAAAAAAGAAAAAAAAAGAAAAAAAAAGAAAAAAAAAGAAAAAAAAAGAAAAAAAAAGAAAAAAAAAGAAAAAAAAAGAAAAAAAAAGAAAAAAAAAGAAAAAAAAAGAAAAAAAAAGAAAAAAAAAGAAAAAAAAGAAAAACCATCATTTTCCAGCAGTTTAATAAGTTGAATTGGCTTTCTGGAGCCAGAAAAACCACACACATAATGCAAGGTAAGCAGGAAGAACTGCTGCTTTCAGTCAGAAGTCAGATCTCAGGTGTAATTTAAAGTTCCTTTGAAACAGACCCAGTGCAAGATGCTGCAACCCTTCAGGATTTTTCTGACTTCCCACACCCACCATTCATTTCTTCCAGTACTTAGAGTGAAATCACAAAGCTAAACATTACCAACATTAAGTAAACACTCCTCAAAAAAAAAAATGGGTTTCAGCCAATTCA